TGTGTGTGTGTGTGTGTGTGTGTGTGTGTGTGTGGGTGTGTGTTTGGTTGGAGTTTTTGGTTGTTTGGTTTTGGTTTTGTTTTTTGTTTTTGTTTTTTTGTTATTTTTTGTGGGGGGGGTTTTGTGGGGTGGGGGAGAGTTAAACCCATCTGTTTCCACATCTTGAGATGTTTTGTATCCTTCAAAGTGTTTGCATTACGTAAATATAATATGGAACAAGTTGGAGAACACAATATTCTTACGAGCGTCTGTGGTGTAGCAGTCAGGCGTGGCACACATTGTATTGTCTGCACTGAGAACAACCTGCCATGTGTGAGAAGGCCGCCCACATTTTGCACTAAGGGAGAAATCACGTCGTACGAGCCTAAATGTTTTCATTTGAATGGTGTCATCTGTTTGTTGTTTGGTTTTTTTTCTAGTTTTGTACAAGTTGTCATCTACATCTCTGGTCTTATTTTACGCGCCCAAAGGGAACGAAAAACAGTTTTTTACACTCACATACACATGCACACACACACACACACACACACACACACACACACACACACACACACACACACAAACATACACACAAAAGAAAACCAAAAAATATGTTTTTAAATTAAGGTGGTGTTTGCCTTCCTTCAGATGTGTCGTATCACGCTTAGTGTTTTTGTTCCGCGCTATTTACATTTAGATTGCGCCGCACCTTTTAACGACCGTATAATTTCCTGACAAAAGAGCCATAAAAACCACAAAGTACAAAAAAATATACAAACCAAAAAGAAATTATCACAATCCTTACTCCCCAAAAAGTAGTATCCCCCTCCTTAAAAAGACAAAATTGTATCGATATAGATGAAACAAATTCACTTTCCCATCCATTACAAAATGTCACTGTTTTTAGATTACTAGAATATGTCCCTGTGATTCTGTGAATCCGTAACTATGTGTCTCTGGGACTCTGTGACTCTATGGCTGACTTTTTGTTCCGTCTCTCTTCCAGAGCGAGTCATGGGCAACCGCCTGCAGCAATCAAAAGGATTCAAGATCTTCATCACAATTTGGTGTTTTTTCGAGAACATTCTTTTCGCGGGCCTCAGGGCAGGGTGGCCTGCCCTGGTGTACGTTCTGAAGCAAGAGGGGATCTACCAGGACTTGTGTATGCCGCCTACAGCAGTGTCCGGGGGTGGGGAGAATGTCTTACTACACAACAAAACGAATAGCGCACAGACAAATGCGAAGATCCAAGCGTCAGTGTCGGCCAAACGAGGTCAGTATGAAACTTCGACTGTTGGTTCCAACAACACTTTAATAAGTACCGTTCTCTATTCGGTTTTTAACCAATCAGCGTTAGGACACAGCGAAGGATTTCCTCCACGTTCAGTAGACGATGCAATAGTGGAAATAGTTACGCCGATGACTCAGCATATGCCATCATTTGGACAAGAGATGCTTTCAGTCAATCAGACGGCAGATTACAACTCAACATGGCTGAATCCCAATGTGAACTCGACGCTGATTGGCTGTATGGAGCAGGATGCTGTGTTCAACCAATGTTTTACCGTCGCGTCTGCAACGATGTCACTGAGTGCGTTGATGTACGGACAGCTCAACTACAAGTTTGGTATTCGGGCGCCCAGAGTTCTGTCCGTGTGAGTTTTCCTAGGTACTCTAGTTATGTTTAATACCCCTTTGACGTAGATTGGGCTATGATTTTTTTTACCCACGTTTAGGATAAATTTCCTACCCCCTCCACACCCCTTAAAAATGTTTATAATATTATACTGTTCAACATGACGGGTGTACATGTGTACATGCTGTGTGTACTAGAGCTATATGAGCAGTTCAGTAAGCATTTTGGGCTATATCAGTGCTTGTCAAACGTGTTATTGCCAAAGCCCAATTAGTCACCTTGAAGAGCCTAAACATTCGCCCTGCCCATTTACGTGTATTTCAAATGGTGACATCCACTAGTGGGAGATATAAGTATTGGGCTATGATACTACTACTTCTGATGCCACTCCTACAATAGTCGTCTCAAACTGAGTCAAATTGTGCACTTCCTTGTGAACCGGAAGTACCTCAGAGTACACGATGTAGGGTTGTATAGTACAATGTACAAATCTTTGGAAAAGACTACAAGATTCCGTAGCTCTCCCCCAGCGCCGTTGTGTTACCTAGCGGTTATGGTATGTACTTGATCTAGCATAGCCATACACTCTGAATGAACTGAATAACGTTTAGCAGTGTGAATGCGCCACGGCTTGTATTTGTGCATTTGTAATGTGTGTGTGTGTGTGTGTGTGTGTGTGTGTGTGTGTGTGTTTTATTTATCATGCGTGCACGTGTGTGTTTTTGTGGGGGGGGGGTTGTGTGTTTATTTGTGTGATTTGTGTATTATTTGTGTGTATGGGGTAGGATTGTTGTGTGTCTTTGTTTGTGATTTGTGGATGGTGCATGTGTGTATATGTATGTGTCTACAAGTATGTGTGCGCGCGTCTGTGTGTGCGTCTGTGTGTGTTTGTGTGTGTGTGTGTGTTTGTGTGTGTCTGTGTGTTTACTCGTATGTATGTTAACGTGTTATAAGTTCTGTAACCTCTTTCCCCTTTCTTTTAAGCCATGATTCTTTGCCTGTTTTTGAATACTATTTCTGTTTTATTTAACCACAAGTAAGCCTGTACTCGTACGTCTACAACGGTCGTCTGTATGTATGTTTTTGTGTTTATAACAAAGTTATGCTTTTTTATACAAGTACCTCAAAACGTCAATTACCTGAAAGTATCTCAAAATGTCAATTACCTGAAAGTATCTCAAAATGTCAATTACTTGCAACAGTATTGAGATCATCTGCGTTTACCTGCTGTTGTCTCGGGGATATAGTCTTGTCATTGTTCTACTCTTCCTTACAGTGCATGCCACACAGGACGATATCAGCCAATATTAGGGGATTTCGTGATTTCGGTGGGTCGCAGAGATCAAGTTGTGGTGGCCGTTATCGTGTAAAGCCTCACGTGGAAATACATTAGATGGGCGGCGAGAAAAATTTTCTCCTTGAATGAGCTAGCAGACCTGAGGCAATGTTTCGGTACACTTAGAACCATCATACACGAGTCAGAATCTCTAGTTTTTGTATTATGTCATTGTATGGATATCGATGCCTGCCTGTAAGAAGTTTGACAAGCACTGCTGTATTCGAATGTCCTGCGGTCGCCGACGCCAACAATAACTACACTGCAGTCGTCACTACCGTCTTGACTGTGTATAGACGTAGCGGCCACGTTATGTTATGTCCGGCCAACAGCAGACCAGAGGCAATGTTTCGGTACACTTAGAACCATCATACACCTGTCAGAATCTCTAGTTTTCATACTATGTCATTGTATGGATTTCGATGCCTGCCATTTTAAATTTCCAATAAATACAACCGAAAGAAAACACTGGAAAAAGGCAAGTTATGCTTTTTTTCAGCATCTTTAGTACAGCGCATTACGACGTGTTGTCGGCTGACCAGAACATACGTCCTCGGTGAGCTCCCTTTATCTCTAGGATATACATTGGTTGGGCAACAAGCTGTCGCTTGTGGAGGGCGAAAGTTCGATTCCTGTGTGTGCGGGCGGGGTTTTTTTTAATAGCTGCAATTGTCTGCTGGGAATTTGTATCCCTCCCCGTTCTGGTTTGCCCTGACAGGCAGAGTTTAATAAGCAGCCAGCCTCCTTTATGATCTAATTTGTGATAATGGGAACGCAAATCATCTATAGTTACAAAATATACGGTATCTCAGAAACAACGTTTGAACCACCACCCGCATCACCACAAATGTCATCACAACTAACAGTATTACAAAGACGGCTCATACACGACAATAAAGGTTTGCACTTTTCTAGCGTGCAAATAGAGGCTTGAGCTCCAAGACTACGCACTGCTGAGGAAGAACAAAACGCCGATCTTGCTATGGTCGACTGCACGCTGTCCCTGATATGTTCCATAGTAAACCGGAAGTACGCCTGGGTGTATAGTTTCAAGTAATAGAATTCAAGTTTATGCATTTCTATTTTTTTTTAAAGCTTGCTTTGCCAAGGTACTTTTTTCAGCTGTCTGAAGGCGAAATGGGCAGAATGAATAAAACGCAAACTTTTTCCTTCCTTATTATTATTAGTAGTAGTAGTAGTAGTAGTAGTAGTAGTAGTAGTAGTAGTAGTAGTAGTAGTAGTAGTAGTAGTAGTAGTAGTAGTAGTAGTAGTAGTAGTAGTAGTAGTAGTAGTAGTAGTAGTAGTAGTAGTTTATAATTAGTGTTATTATCATTATTATTATTATTATTATTATTATTATTATCATTATTATTATTATTATTATTATTATTATTATTATTATGATGTAAAGGAGAACATTACGAGCTCACGACAGAAACAATTTAAGGACAAGATGATTAAGGAAAAGAGGCAATTGGGCGTGGTGGCCTTATGGGACAAGTGGTCACTACCGTACCAATCCTACAAGTCAAGATTATTTTCACAATTCAGAGCGTGGCAAAAATCATTCGAATGTAATGGGATTTTTACGGACAACGGACCTCCGTCTCATTCTTCTTAAGTTTTCTTAAAACGAATGCATTTTATATCTAAAATCATTAAGGTTAACACAGCAGTACTGTGTATTTCAAAGAAGAATTTACCACTTTATTCACTATAGCTTGTTCAGGTTTGTCTGTTGGCCTTTAAACATTCTAGCTGATTTATCATATATCATGGAACCTTGCATGGCCCTTCTGCAAGCCAGGTACCAAAGAAAAACATTTTTGTCAAAGCATTTTGATCCAGTAATTAAAAAATGCTCTATTTTGGTCCCTTTCTTTGAGTGCATACACAGAATCAGTAAAACAAATTATTTAGAGTAGCCTTGAATACAAATTGCTAATTTTGAGACAGCGACACCACCGTGTCGTCTCACTTTTTCAGTGAAATCTTGTAGATTGCAAAAAGTACTCACCCTTACTCTGATCACCGTGTTTCTTTGGCGTACTTTGAAGTGTGGTGCTGGTGGAAGTAGAAGTTTGGCGAGTGCAAGTGGGGGGGGGGGATTACTCTCGGCTCTTGAGCCCCAAACTGTACAGGGGGAAAAAACGTTGACCAATGGTTTGTTCAATCGTATCCCAAAACTGTAGAGTGAAAAAAAAAACCGTTGACCAACAGTTTTGACAGTGAGTTGCGGAAAATGCGAATCAAGCGTAAAGTTATTAAGGTCTGTGAAGAGACCAGCGGAAATGTTTTAGGGCGTTGTAAGGTCTTTCTTTCTAGGTAAAAAACTCACAGTTTTAACGCCCTTTTCAACCCTGCACAGTTAATTAAGACACTTGACTTCCAAATTTTAAATCAAGCTGCCTTGTTGGCCAACTGTTTTGTTGTAGTATGGTACTGCTCTTTGTGTCATACGATGGTACGCCATTACGCGCATACAATCAACATTCTGCTTACTGTCACACACTTAATAAATATACACACATACACACTCACACTCGTTCGTGCACGAATTCGGCAACACACCAATCAACGTTCCAACATGGTAAACTATTTCAAGCGGACGATATATCAACATTCCAATCCACGTACCTGCTCTCTCTCTCTCTCTCTCTCTCTCTCTCTCTCTCTCTCTCTCTCTCTCTCTCTCTCTCTCTCTTTCTCTCTCTCTCTCTCTCTATATATATATATATATATATATATATAATTATATATGTGTGTGTATGAGTGTGTGTATCTTATCTATCTATCTATCTATCTATCTATCTATCTATCTATCTATCTATCTATCTATCTATCTATCTATCTATCTATCTATCTATCTATCTATCTATCTATCTATCTATTTATTTATCTATCTATCTATCTCTCTCTCTCTCTTTCTGAACCCCCCCCCCCCACACACACACACACAAACAAACACACATACAAACACACACAAACGCACACTCACACACACAAACACATCTGCTCCCCCTCACGCACGTTAAAGTGCATTGAAAACCCTCTCATCCAACTGTTTATTGAGATTATTCAACATCAAACACGTACTGAAAACCCCACAAAAAAAGCCAAAAAAGGGACAAGTCACGTGAGAATAAAATTTCCTGGTGCTCAACACCTGCTGCCGCCTCCAATATTTAATTATCGAAAGACAACAACTTAGGCCTGAACAAAAACAAAAAAGCATGACGTTGTTAAACAAAACCGGATAGCAGTGAAAAGTGGCTTGCCATTTTCTTTTACTAGAAATGTTTAGCACCATCAATCGACTCGATTTCGACTATTTAAGAAAAGGCTCTTTTAGTTTTAACTGCCCTGTCATGCATGACTAATGCAGCCCGCCTCCTAATTCATCTAAAATCCAAATTGTGTTGACGAGGGTGCAAACCATCAGCAGTTGTTACAACGTTAACAGTGGCAGGGGCGAAGGCTGACTCGTTTGACAGGGTAATCAAAGTGAGATGGGACCAGATAAGGCCTGGAGATATCACACTCACACAAGTCACAAGAACCTTACTTACTGGAGGCGGCAACTCTGAGTTGTGAATGAAAGCAAATCCTGAATTCATGTTGTATGCATATTCAACCGCTAAAATAATCGGGAAAGTATTTCCATAAATATTTATTCTAACTAACCTTAAATTTTACTTTAGATTTGAATACACGAACACCAAGGAAAGAAGCAGAGATGTCAGTACTACAAAGACATGTCAAAACACTTTGGTAGAGCATGCCAATTATTAATTTTTTATTTCACATTTGGCTCTTTTTGTCTAGCTTTTGGCGCCAGGAGCTGGTGTCGTAATCGAGGCCACGATCTGATTATAGGACGTTAAAGAGTCGAAGAAAAAAAAACAGGCACTCGCAGCAGTCAAGATATTATTAGTATTAGGAGTTAGTTCCCCTCACATCTGTGAGGTAGACTCGACCAGTGTAATAGTTAGCTTACATAATCAGCGAGTGTGGCTGTTTATAACTGTGGCTCGAAAGGGGTGAACAGGGTATATGTTGCAATGAAACAATTTTGACTGCTATACACATGTTCCCTTCAACTCTATTGATTATATAGACGCTTTGCCACTGAGCAGTGGGATACAACACCCATCCCTCGGTGAATGCAATCAGAAGTGTAAAAATAGATTATTTGTGCCCCTATCGACACTAAGAAATTATGTAGGGAGCGGGTTACTTCACCAAAGGCTCAGTGGGATGTTCACCACAACACAAGGACGGAGATGCGCGATAAGTAATTCATTATTCCCCCCATACGCGAATCGAGGAGCGCAGAACTTCCACATGCGACGGCCACGCTCCTAGCTGCTACACCACAGGTGCTGGGGCTCGTTATCTGCCTGCAAAATACATGTACAGCCCAACCTGCTCTGACGACCACCTGTCTAAGACAATCCAGCTTACGAAAGACTTCTTATTGCTGTCCCCTTGTTGTTGTTTTTTTTGGGGGGGGGTTGTTGTTGTTGGG